GCAATGTAGTGGATTTCCTAGTTTGTTTAACTTAGCATCCATTTCCCCTTCATAATAGCACCTTAGTTTCCTCAGGAAAAATGAGATCTTTCCCATTAAATGTAATCCAGAAGAACTACAATCTGAGGCGTCTAACCCAAGGTAGTCGCATTAGATACTCCCTCTCTTGAGATCTTGGGTATAGAAACAAGATAGTTTGACTCTCATTTTATCTTAATAGCCACATTGTACTAAAGAGAACTTGTGGTAAAGATCACTGGAATTCCTGCTTTGTGGCTGCCAGAGAGATTCCATAGGCCCTGCCTGTTTTCAAGCATTGTTCTGTGGGCTCCTAAATAGCCTTTTAAGAAAAGTCCCTTTCGCTTAGGTAAACCAAAGTCTGTTTCATTTGCTTTCATCCAGGGACCTAATTTGTACAAGTAACTCGTAACACTCTCTTGGAGACCATAGAGTCTTCCTATTCACATTTTCCCTTATCTGACTTTAGGCTTTACCTTTTTAAAATTTCTTCAAAGTTTGTTGCTTTTTGGGTTTTTTTTTTTTTTTTTTTTGCTTTTCTATTCAAATTAGCAGCACATTCTTCTTTGTTCCATTTTATCCAATTATACCAAAAGGAAACTCCTTAATACTGCTGTAATACCATTAAAGTAGTGTTAAGCTGGCATCTGGCCAAATTTGGGACATCACTGCTGTCAAGATGTGTCTGCATCTTTGGCAGCCTGCTTTATTGAAATTATAGTTGTCTGACCCACTGATTATCTTTAAAAAGAAACAAATCTGTCAGGTCGTATCTGTACTATTCCACCAACAAAAGTCTGATGAAAATTCTCTTATCATAGCTTTTTAGCTGGAAATGGAATATAGAAAATTTTGTTGGGAATTATTCTTAACAGTTGGAAAGCAAATTTTCTCCAGGAATTCTTGGTGTGTTTGGCTAAACATCTTGTTTCTTCACACTCTATGTTTCTTATTTAATGGATTGTACCAATGAATAATGAACTCCTTTAAATGTAAATATTTTTGTATGACTTCCTTGCTGGAATAATTCAGAACATTTAATAAATATATTCAGTAGCCTGGTACTAATGCTGTGATAATTTTGTAAATTTAAAAAATATTATAAATTTCCAGGATATCATATTCTTTTTAATTAATTTTTTTATTTATATATGACAGCAGAATGCATTACAATTCTTATTATATGTATAAAGCACAATTTTTCATATCTCTGGTTGTATACAAAGTATATTCACACAAATTTGTGTTTTCATACATGTACTTTGGTTAATAATGTCCATCACATTCCACCATCATTAGGATGTCATATTCTTAAGCAGTGTGTATCTCTTTGAAAAAGATCCTAAAGAGCTTTTATGAAAAATAGTAAGTTAGGTCAATTTTAAAGCCCTTTCTAAATGAATGATAAAAATCCTTATGAATACATTTGCACCTTACTTATGTTAAAAGTAGAGAAGCTACCATGTAGTGTTACAAACTCCAGAGAACAGAGATAGATGTAAACTTTTAAATCAAGTGAAGAAACAAATCTTCAAGTCAGTGATCATCTGTTTTGCTTGAGAAGATGCTAAAATGTAGGAACCAAAGAAGAAAAAATGGAGAAATAGAGAAAGAAAATACAAAGGCATAAATAGAAGAATTACAGTACTCTCCAACCCCCATCCACAGTTTTGTTTTTTCTCTAGTTGCCTTTGTCCATGTTCAACTGTAGTCCAAATATTTCTCTTAACTCTCTCAAGAGAGACAGTGTTCACTTATCTTTTATTACAGCATATGGTTTTATAATTGTTCTATTTTGTTATTAGTTGTTGTAATCTCTTACTGTGCCTTATTTATAAATTAAACTTTATCAAAAGTATGTAAATACATGAAATAAAGTGTATATAGGGATCTGTTCTACCCATGATTTCAGGCTTGCACTTTGAAGTCTTGGAATATATCCTCTAACAACTGTGTTTTACCACTGTGTTTTATATGTCCCTGAGATACATTGCCCTTTTAATGGTATCTTTCACAGCTCACTGTGAAAGATACCATTAAAAGGATTTTAGAAGGGAAAAGTGTTAGTCTGTAAACAAGTCAGGTGGTATCAAGGTACACAAGTTGCTCGTCACCCCCCAGGTTATTTTGCTGCAGCTGGACTGCTGCAGAAAAGACAAGAAGATATGATTAAAAGAAAATCTTGAGGCTTGAGTTTTGAAGATAGTGATACAAAAAACAAAAGTTCACAGTGGCTGCTGTAAGCAGAATTGACACTGCAGAAAGGAGTAAGAATTCCACTGTCCCAAGTGCAGAATCAAGGGACAATAAATCAGAGAGAAACTGATATGAATGGAGAACACAACAGTGGATCACTGCCATGGGTGGAGAGTAATTTGGTGAGAATTCAGTGATATTGTTTTCTTTCCAGAGTTGAGAGTAAAAGTACCTTTAAATGTTTTACTCAGAGATACACTAGCAAAACAGAGCAGGCTGTATCTTATTCAGATTGCTAAATAAAAGATAGATTAAAAACAAAAGGCAAACCCAGATCCTTCCATATAGTGAAAGAAAGAAAATAGGGGAAAAGTATGAAAAATATAAAGGTTAGATGACTGATGACAGAATAGCTAAACCCACATATTTTCATCTATTAAAGATTCAGACTGTATCAAACAGAACCTAAAATGACCTAAAATTTAAATGAAAAGCATGGGCAATGTTATCTCAGGGACATATAAGTAGGTAGTTGAAAGGATTGCAGTTTTATGATACAATAGAATTTAATTCAAGGTAAAAATGATTTCATGGGAGTGGAAAAACTTTGTAATGCTTAACTGTACAATCTGCCCTAAGATGTAACTCTCGGAACTGAATAGTGTATTGAATGTACCATTGAGACATAAAGAGAAAATCTACAGGAAAGGAAAAGATAACTGACAAAATATTGTATGGTTCTAGATTCCTTTTTCTTGCTACACTTTAAACCACTGTATCATTGCTCTTTGAATATGAAATATTCAGTCCATTAAATCCATCACCTTTTGCTCTCAGTGGACCATCTCATCTCCCACTTCTCAAAGAAAATAGTGGCCACATAAGACAAGTAACTTTACTTTTCTGATTCCTTCCCTCATATGTAAATGATTTTGTTCATGTAATAGAAGAGACAGTTCTCATTCTAATACCAATGCCTGCCATCTTCCCACCGCTAATGGTGTCTGCTTCATGTCTCATTCGGGTTTTAACATACCTGTACCTGGATCTCAGATCTTTCCCATGTGCCCATCCTCAGAGCCATCTGCCCTTTGGGATGTCCACCAGATAACTCAAACAACATTCCTAAAATTGAACTCATCACTTTCCTCCTGATCTTGCTGTTCTTCTACAATTCTTTACTTCAGTGACAGAGCCATGTTCACTGGGAGGCTCTCATTTCTCCCAAGGTCTATGGGTGGTGATGGCTGGGGATTGTGATAGTAACCTAAAACAGTGTCTTAAGGAATTTGTTTGAATTGTGGGTTCACTTGTTTTATGAGTGGATTGTTTTAGCCTTGGGCAAAAATATTTTGTCATATTATTTATAAAACCAGCAGCATAATCATAGTTTGTCAATGAAACATTTGGGAGAATTACCTCTAGTGTATGGCTGTTATTTTTTTGGACCCAGTTTATATCTTTGACAGATTCTTGGGTCAACAAAGCATTTTCTCTTAGCTGTGAATATGAGAAGCAGCATCCTCATGCTCACAGAAGACATGGAATCATAACAAAAACAAATACCAGAAAACCCCTGTACTCCAGTAAATACATGAGATGATTAAACTACTAAAGTAAGGAGTTGATGGCAGTGGGGATCAGAGGTATAAAAACAAGTCCTGTTTGTAAAAGAGTAGGCTAACTATAGGAGCCCCCCTTATCCACAGGGGATGCATTGCAGATCCCCAGTGGATTACTGAGACCACAGATAGTACTGAAATCTGTACTGTTTTTTCCTATAACATGTATATTTGAGAGAAAGTTTAATTAATAAATTAGGTACAGTAAGCAATTAGCGATAATAAATAATAAAATAGAATAATTATAATAATTATAACAATATACTATAATAAAAGTATAAATATAATATCAGTGTGGTCTCAAAATATCTTTTTGTACTGTATTGTCTTTCAACTGCTAGGGTAACAAATCAAGGAAAGCAAAACCATGCCATGGATATAGGAAGCCACCATATACACAAGCAAGTTGTGGTCTTGTTTTTATTCATTGATAATAACAGTGTATCTTTATATAGCACTGTAAAAATTATAATTCTTGATTAATTACATAATGAAAAGGGAGAATTCCTCTGTGCTCTCCAGAGGGAAAATAAAGTTTTGTGCAATTTGAAATCTCTCTTTCTGACCCATGAAAGAATAGAAAAATCCTTTTTTTTAAAAAAAAAAAAAAACTCTTTTGAAGCATTTAAAAACATAAGTTTACCATTAATTGGATATCATAATATTTTTCCTGTATTTTTTCTTATATTTCCTGTTATAACTGTAGTGATATTACTGCTGTAGAGTAATCTGACTTTAGTATTCTCAGAGGAAGGGGAAAGCTATGGGAAGGATGGATGTTTATGGTAAATAAGGATATGTAGCATACCCACTCAAGTATTTTAAATGTTCTGAAATGCTAGTAGTTTAATCTGCTTCACAGATAAGCTTTTGAGCAAGATCGGTTTTTAACATCTTACTTGGTTGCTTGCTTTGTCATATTGGGGATTGAACCTGGGGCCTCCTGCATGTGAGGCAAATGCTGTAGCTCTGTATTCCAGAGCTGTATTCCCCAGTCCTCCTTTCTTAAGGAGCCCTTTTACTTGTTTCTGGACTCCTTGCCAGCTGAGTATGATAGTTTTAAAAAAGTCAACTGTTTAGATATCCTCTTTTATTTAGAGATGCTGACCTGTTGGATCAGTTTAATTTAAAATATTTTTTCTTTCCATTTACATTTTCTATTAGATATTAAGGTTAATACATACCACAGTTGTAACGACAAAGAAAAGTGTTCCAGCCTCAAGACGTGAAACATACACAGAGGATTTTATTAAAAAGCAGATTGAAGAGTTCAACATAGGAAAGAGACACTTGGCCAACATGATGGGAGAAGATCCAGAAACTTTTACCCAAGAGGATATTGACGTAAGTACAGTTAACTCAGTTGGAAAAGTAATTGCTGTAGAGTTTTAGACATTTATAGCACTTTTCTTCAGCATGAGCCCCTTAGCTCTCTGTAAATTTTAATCAAACTGTCAGAGTATGGAAAAATATCACTGTACATTGCAAGTTGGAACCATGATATCAAAGAGAGATACCACTTTGTACTTGAAGCATCACAAAGTATGGTGAATTTTAGATTTTAACCAGAAATGGATACTTTTCCTGATTCAAGGTCAGAGGACCTGGACTTCTATGGATGCTTATATACCATTTGAAAACATTTGTCCTGTTTTCAAATGGTACTCTTAGGCTCTGCTTTCTGACAAAAATGATAAAGTAGATAGTAATGAAAGCATGTTGCAAGTGTTTTGACAATTAAGGTCAGAATTCAGTTCCTTCTGTGCTCTTGAATTACTATATTCCTGATAAAAGTAATAACAGTTAATAATACTTTTGTGTTAGAAATTCCAGAGTAACTAGCTGAGGAATTTAAATTTAACAACCGTAAGCTTGTGCTGATTTTTAAAAAGTAACATCTGACATCTCCTAATGTTTTGTATTTAACTGAAAATGACATCTTCATATAGATATCACATTTTTATATGCTTTTTAAATATAGTAATGCTTTGCTGAATGACCAGGGTATGTTTTGAGAAATGCTTCCTTAAGTGGTTTTGTGGTTTTGTGAACATCATAGAATGTATTTATACTAAGAGGATAACTATGTCACTAGCCCATGTAATCTTATGTGACCATCACGATTGAAACAGTATTAGGTGACATGATTGTATATAGTTGTCCTTTGTTATCCTGGGGGCTTAGCTCCAGGATATCCATGGATACCAAAGTCTATGGATGATCAACTGTCATATAAAATGGTGTAATATTTTCATAAGACCTGCATATATTTTCCAGTATATTTTAAATCATCTCTAGATTACTTATAATATCTAGTACAATATAAATGCTATGTAAGTAATTGGCATACTGCATTATTTAAGGAAGAATGACAAGAAAAAGTCTGCATATGTTTAGTATAGGTGCAGTTTCTCTTTTTTCAAATATTTTCAATCTGTGGTTATTGAATCCACAAATGGAGAGTACACAGACATAATTATCATTTTTAATGAATTAGTTTAATTCCCATTTTTAAGTATACATTTCTTGTTTGTAAATGGTTCTGAAGTATATTTTTAATGTCTCAGATCAACATTTTTGTCTTAAAAACTTTCTATTGCCCTTTTAGGTCTTAGTGATTCAAGTTGTAGACCTTGTAACTGCTGTCCTCTTTATTAATCTTATGATAATCTGGACTGTATTAATAAAATTATTTTTAATACACTTTAATTTTATCCTAGGTAGCATGGTAGTTAAGTATGGTTGCTTGCTGCATTTTTAAAAAAAGGAACCTGAGGCACAGAAAGACTTAGCATTCTGTGTAAATACGTATGCAAAAATGGAGAAACTGTAAGATCTTAAACTTTAACTTTAAAGTTCTTTTTTCATATCTGCCTCATTTCATAGATCATGGTCACCTGAAAAATATCCATAATTTTTAGCTAAGATATCTGTATACTCAAAAATTTATGATTTTCAAGAGAATTGGAAGAAAAAAACCACAAAAATTAGGTATCTGTATAGTCAAAGAGTATGAGTTTTTAAGAACTGAAGAAAAGGTCAAAAATAAGATTTTATTTTTCCCCATTTTATACCATGTCCCCTTTTAAAAGATAGATTAGTGAGCAATTTGGCACAAATTGATATATTGCAGTTTTTTTCTAAGTAGGAACGTAATCTCTGCTTCCCTAGTTATTTGTCCTGAGATAACCTTTTTGCTGTTTCCTTTTTTGGGTGGTAGCTGCTGGGTTAAGACATAATTCATGTATCATTTAAGGTGTACGATTCACTGGTGTTTAGTTTAGTCACAGAGTTGTACAGCCATGACCGTAATCAAACTTCTGAATATTTTCATTATCCCAAAATGAAACTTCGTACTCTTTAGTGTGCTGTACTTCTTCCCATCTCCCAACTCTAGGCCGCTATACTTTCTACATTTTGTCTGTATAGATTTGCCTATTCTGGCTATTTCATATAAATAGAATCCATCCATATGTGGTCTTCTGTGACTGGCCTCTTTCACAAAACATGTTTTTAATATTTATCCATGTTGTAGTTTATATCAGTATTTATTACTTTTTGTTCCTGAGTTAATTTTCTTTTTTTAAAAAATTCACTTAAAAATTCCATTTTAATAGAGTAGGAAATAAATAATAAATATCATACACTATTTTTTAAAAAGTTTTACAATTGAAATATTTGAACAAATATAACTTACTGTATTTTAGATTCCACCTGTCTCAGTCTCCTGAGTCACTGGGATTATGGACATACTCTACCATACCTGGCTACATATTCAATTTTTATGTCAGAAAATTTTAAAAAAGAAAAGTTGTTCCCGAGTAATTTTTTATTAAAAATTCAGTCATCAATTGATGGGCATATGGATTGTTTCTGTTTTGGCTTGTTGTGAATAATGTTGCTATGAACATGAGTGCTATGAATATCAAGTTTTTAGGTAGGCATGTTTTTAGTTCTCTTGAGTATATACCTAAGAAACTATTGCTAATCCAAGGTCATGAAGATTTGCCCTTGGGTTCTTCTAAGAGTTTTACAGTTTTAGTTATTGCATTTAGGTTTTGATCCATTTTGAAGTAATTTTTGTATATAGTGTGAGGTAGGGGTCCAACTTTATTTTTTTACATGTTCAGTTGTCCCAGAATCGTTCGTTGAAAAGACTTGTTCCCCCCATGGAATTCTTTTATCTCTGTGTGTCAGCTTTTTGTTTCTGTGAACAAAATAGCTGACAAGAACATCTTAAAGGAAAAGTTTATTTGGGGCTCACAGTTTCAGAGATTGAATTCATGGTCAGCCAACTCCATGGCTCTCAGCCTGTTGATGCAGAACAGCATGGCAAAGTGGGTGGTGGAGGAAGGCTGCTCAGTTTATGGTGCCAAGAAGTAAAGAGAAAGAGCAGATGCCAGGGACAAAGTATAAACCCCAGTGACCTACTTCTTCCAGCCACACCCTGCCTGCCTGTAGTTATCACCTAGTACAGGGTAGTTCTTTCAAATTATTAATTCGCCAAATGGATTGATCCACTAATTAGGTTACAGCTCTCATAATCTAATCATTTCACCTCTGAATATTCTTTCATCATCTCACACATGAACTTTCAGAGGATAGGTCAGTTCAAACCATAACAGTCACCCTTATCAAAACCCAATTGACCGTAAATATTACGATTTATTTCTGGACTTATAGTTTTTTCCCTTTGATCTATTTATCCTTATGCCAGTAACTACTCTGTTTTGATTACCTTAGCTTGGTAGTAAGTTTTGAAATTGTGAAGTATACATACTCCTATTTGGTTCTTTTTTTTTTTTCCCCCCAACATAATTCTGACTGTTCTGTGCCTCTTGAATTTCTGTATGCAGTTTTAAGGTTGGCTTATTAATTTCCGCAAAGAGCCAGGTAGAACTTTAATAGGGACTCTGGTAAATCTGTAGATCACTTTTGTGAGTGATGCCATCTTCATGCTAAGTTCTAATCTATGAGCATGGGATGCTCTTCTGTTTTCATTTATATCTTTAATTTCTCTCAGTGATGCTTTGTAGTTTTCATGGTTTGATACTTCTTTTGTTAAATTAATTCCTAAGTTTTAGTTTCTTTTTTTAAAAAAATCCTACTATAAAATAGAATTGATTTTCTAATCTGGATTCTCCATTGAAAGTGTGTACAGTTGATTTTTGTATATATTTTGTGTGATTTTGTTTATCACTCATGAATTGAGAACCTTGCTGAATTCATTCATTAATTCCCAGAGTTTTTAAATGGATTTTCTAAGATTTCCACATACAACATATTGTCACTGGCAAATAGTTCAGTTTTTCTTCTTTCTTTCCATCTGGATCCCTTTTCTTTCACTCTTTTTCCTCACCTAATATCCCTGGCTAGAACCTCCAAAAGTATTAAACAGAGATAGCTAGAACAGACATTCTCAATTTGTTCTGCTCTCGAGCAAAAGCATCCATATTCATTCACAGTTAAATGTGATGATGGTGGCCATAGGATTTTGTGTGGGTGAATGTATCAGATTCAGGAAGTTCCTTTTCATACCTAGTTTGTTGAACTTTTTTTCTGGTGGTGGTGGTTGAGTGTTTTATCATCAAGGAGTGTTAAATGTTGTCAAATATCTTTTCTGCTTTTTTAAAATCATGATTTTTATCCTTTATTCTATTGGTGTGGTGTATCACATTTAATTTTTGAATGTTAAACCAACCTTGTGTTTATGAGATAAATTTCCTTTGGTCAGTTTACATAGTACTTTTTATATATTTCTAGATTTGGTTTGCTAGCATTTTGTTAAGGATTTTTGCATCTAATCAATACTAGTCTATAGTTTTCTTAGAATATCTTTGTCTGATTTGATATCAGTAATATTGGCCTCATAGCATAAGTTGGGAAATACTCTTTTCTATATTTGGAAGAGATTATAAAGAATGGACATTAATTATTTTATAAGTATTTGGTTCAATTCACTGGTGAAAGCCATCTGGGCCCAGGCTTATCTTTGTAGGTAATTTTGTTTTTGTTTTTTACTTTTTTACTGTTTGGTTTTTAAAATGGCATTGCTGTCTCCTTGTGGCCTCTGTGTCCTTGAGTAACATTTTGCACTTCCAGCTGAGTTTACCACTGAAGTGTTTTTGAGCAGCTTTCAACTATCTTTTTGGATTTACATCAGGTGTATTTAGCTTACTGAGAAAAGAATCAGTCAGTGGTTTTGTAATTCTATCTGAAAGGACAAACCTTTTCACACTGTAAATATTTAAATGAATTGCGTTGTTTGGAGTGGCAAGTTCATGGCTTGGCTGTTTACTCAGAATATTATTTTGGGATGTTAAAATTATTTTTACAGGGGCTTA